CCCCCCCCCCCCCACGCCATCTGGGAGTCACTGGAGTGTCTAAGCCTGCCCTTGAGAAGGTTCCCCAAACCCAAGTCAAAGCCTGCAACCTCATAGTTTAATGAGTTAGTTGCAGAGGCAAGTGCCAGTCCCTGGAGCAGCTCTGGGAAGGCCAGAAACCTTTACCAGGTGCATCTCTAGGAAGGGAGGGAAGTGTGGGCCATAATACTCTCAACAGCAAGAATCTGAGCACTCTCTTTGAGCACATCTACATGCAGCACGGCTAAAATACAGCCACCTCTGCAGCAACCTACTCCAGGAAGGCAACAACCAGCTGGAGTGCAGCACAATAGTGGAGTGAAGGGAAAGTCTGCCTCAGATATGAGGTCATGCCCCATCTTGTACCCCACATCTTCCAATATCCAAGCAAGCCCCCAGACTTCAAGTTCTCACCTGAGACACCCACTGACACAGGTTAGCTGGAACTTAGTTTCTCTCCAAGGATATGGGGCTGAGCTGACCATGCTGGGATCAGAGCCTGTTGACTCCGAGACCCTGGGCAACTGGATATCCTCCAAGACTATATGGAAAACCCTACAGTTACCCAGGAATGCTACAGCTTGCAGTCTGTGCAGTATGTGCTGCATCCATAGGAGCAGGGGAGGTTTTTATAGCAGGAGGAGGGGGAATGCAAAGGAGGGCCACTGCAGAGGTCACAGCCCCACCATCATCTCTGTGATGGTCACAAGTGGCCCAGAGGCCAGCGTGCCAGCATAATCAAAACTGGGCCAGAGCCAGAGGCCAGCATGATCAGAACTGGGAGGTGAGCTGTTAGCTACAGGCTTCCCTCGCTTTATGCTGTACATGTGTTCCTGGAAAACAATGCACAACTCGAATTCACATAAAGGGAACCTACTTTACAGTGTAATAAATAGAGATAGGTTCCAAGACCTTGACTGTACTGACCCCCAAACCCATTTCTACCACTTTTACAAGACAATTTTGGTACTCAGCAAGCACAAGGCACTATCATAATGGGGATGGCAAGTACAGAAACACATCGCAGATAACGAGTGAGGATCACAGATCCACACAGGAGGCTGTATTTTGGTAAGCGTCACTCCCACAATGCACCGCACAAAGCAGCTGACTGCGGGGTTGCACCACACTGATCTCACAAGAGTGAATTTACCTTGCATATAATGAATTTTTGGTATAAAAAGGGTCATCCCATAAGAGCGAATTCACACATGCAGAACCCGTATAAAGCGAGGGAAACCTGTACTGCAGCCATGATTTATGGAGAGCAGGTGCTACAAAGAAGAGAGTCTGGAAGCCTTTTATAGCTCTGGCTACTTGATTAGAGCAAGGGGATTATTGCATCTCCTCCCCTCACAGGGAAAACTGCCTCAAGGCCAGCATGAGAGCACGGTCTCCTGTGCTGAGCAAGGAGGAGAGAGCAGGTTGCCCTGAAATGCTCCAGCAAGCACTTAAGTGAATCTCTGTTCAATCCAAAGCCAAGCTAGCTGGGAGAGCTGAGGAGAGACCAGCCCTGGGGAAGGTGGCCAAGGATGTTTAGGCATTATGCAATGTGAGCTCTCACATCCATGTGAGAAGACCAAGCCAGAGCCCCCTAAGTATAGCAAGAGACACCAACCTCAGGCTCAGCCTGGCAAGCATGCCACAAGCTGGCCATCACCAAGCTAGCTGAAGAAGGGCCTTCTTGATTATAGCCTATCTCCAGGTCACTGACTGTGTGTGGCTTGCTGGCAGACCCCTGGAGAGGGAACTTTGTGCATCACTAGCTCCACATCTGCTAGCTCTGTGTATCTGTCCCCCCTTGCTAGTAGGCTCTGAATGATGTGTTTGGTGGAAGAAGGGGGGAGAGGCAGAAGGGCAGAGGTGGGGCCAGGGAGAGGGAGAGAGAGAGAGAGAGAGAGAGAGGTGGCTTCCAGTGGCTGCTCCTCATAGAAGTTAATGACCTACTTGTGCTTTTGGAGCACAGTAACCCACTTGGCCAGCCTAGGATGTACCCCTGTTGTCTGCAGCACCTGGATAGCTCTGAGGGGCAGTGACCTCCATGGGTACATGAGGCAGGGAGTGACCATGTCCTGATTAGGGCCAGGTGCACTGGTAGACCCAAAGGGTAAGCACCCCAGAGGCTGAATGTAGATGAGTGGATGCTGCCAGGGTGGTGCTAGGGGTACAGGACTGCATAAATACAGCTCAGTGAGACAGGACTGCATGGAAGTGAATGGCAATGTTTTCTTGGCTCCAGCAGGGGTGCTCACCAGGCTGAGGCACACCAGCAGCGTAGCATGAGAGCCCCCCCAACCCTTTGACTGGCAAGGTGTTCATAGGGCCAAGGGCGCAGGCCGCGGAGCCTCTACCTGTGCCGAGGAAGAGAATGTCGTAGTGTCTGTTCTCTGTCTCCAGCCTGTGCACCAACAGCTGCCGCAGCCGATAGGGCACATTGACTTTCACTAGGATGGGCTTGTGGCGAAGCGGGTAGACAGGCTCCCACATCAGCTGGTGGGTGCGCATGAAGCTGATCACATCATCGGGGAAGTCCTTAGTGGACTGGAGAAGAGGGTCATACGTTTCGCTGGGGCACTGTGGGGGCAAGAGGGGCAAGTGGAAGAGGGCTGGAAAGCACAGAGTGGCCTGCCCCCTTCCCTCCCCCTTCTGAGACCCAGTTACCTCCCAGCTACCCCAGTGCTGCACACTTACTGTTCCTGGACGGGGGTAGGGGATCCTCCCCTTGTACTCCACCCAGCGGTAGTCAAAGCCTTCCTTGTGTGCAAAGGGCCCATTGAAAGCAGCTCGCACAGCAGCCATGGAGTAAACACATACAGCAGAGCCACTGAAGACCCCGCTGCTGGAAAGGAGAGACACAGGAATGAAAGGACTGGAGACAGACCCTGCAGCTGCAAGAGCTGGAGCTGGCATGGCCTTGTCCACGTACAGGAGCTGCTGGTTTATATGGGTCAGTGTTCAATCAGTGCAAGCCCCTGAAGTAGCTTGCACCTCCTTTATCCTGCCCCAGCTCTGTTCCTGGCTGCCTTGTGCTAACAAAGAGCAGGCACAGAAGGGGTCTGCATCGCTATAGCAAGACCGGCACAGCTGGAGACACACCAGCCTGTGCACAGGAGTAGGGAGATCTACGGCTCACAGGGAAGCAGCCATGAATCCCTTATTCACGTATTGTCGCTCTGGGATCCCCTCTGCAGAACAGCACCAGCTCATGGGGCAGAGGGAAGGCTTCCCTCCAACTGGGATATGCTGGACAGGATCCCAGGGGTGAACATTGGCTCTGCAGTGGAGTCTTTGATTTCCTGTGGTCTTGCTGCATCCTACCATAAGGACCTGCTGTCTCTCTGTCCCTCCAGGAACTGTCAGTGGCCACCAGCCTGTCCTGCCAGCCAGTCTCCCCGCTGTCTGTGTGAGACAACTCCCTTTGCTTTTCCCTTTTCTCCCCTCCCTCTTCTCAGGCACCATTTAACTCCTAAAGCCTCCTGCAGGACAGATGCCCCTTAGGCCACTCAGGCAGAAGCTTCCCATCCATGCTCACCTGGAGACAGTGAAGAGGCCAAAGATGAGAGGGCTCTGGGGGTTTCGGGTATGGAGGAGGAAGACATCCTCTGCAAAGAGACCAGGTGAGAAGGCCTAAGCCCCGAAATGCTGGATCACAAGTTCTCAGGACCCAGTTCTGGGGCAAGGGTCCAGTGTGGCTGCCCCACCCTTCAAGGTGACCCACCTCTTCCCTGAGCCCTCTGCTGAAGAAGGGGGCAGCTCCATGCAGGACACAGCAGGTCCCCTGCTAGGGGACCCCAGCACCTCAAGCCCAGACAAGGGCACCGTGGACTTGTGGCTGAGGGAGGGAGCAGGGCAGGTGCTCTGCACTCACCTAGCTGATCAAAGTGTGTCTCAGTGCCTTGGGGCCCCGGGATGGAGCAGACCAGCCGGGCTTTGAGGAACGTGCTCCAGCGATTGATCAGACTGCGTTTCCCACCTAGGTCATTCTGCCAGGCACAAAGAGGTATTTCTCAGCAGGAGTCTTGCTGAACCAACCCCATCCTCCTTCCCTGCTTCCTCCAGCATTGTTAACCCCACTGTGACCTGGGCTTTCTGAATAGGAGTGGGGGGCAACCCATCATCACCACCCTCCAGCCACTCTGTGAAGTGGGGTGGGTCAGGTTCTTCTACTTTCTGCCTCCTGACAGCCCCTGGGCACGGCTGGGACAGAACAGGGCAATGAGACAACTGATCTGTGGGGCAGCACAGTCCCCTCCCACACCTCCCTGCTAAGAGGTAAGAGGGCAGTTACCCAGGGAACCTTCTTGGATCACAGGCCTTAGCATTTCTGCTACCCAAGCTGTGGAAAGCAATACCATTGACACTCAGCATCTCAAGACCCTCCAGCTAGGTTCCCAGCTTGAGAATGCAAGGTGTCCTCACCGCCCATGACAGACGGGGAAGCACTAGCAGAGGGAAACAAAGGGACTTGCTCAAAGTCGTGTAATGAGCGTAAACTGCTGTATGTGTTTACTTCATGGCAAAGCCAGGTAAGCCCCAACTTCTACTGTTCTTCTGTAACCACAAACTAGGCTGCCTGCTCTTATCAGACCCCGGTACTGAGCCAAAAGGCCCCTGAGGTGAGTGAAGGAATTATGAGCAACGTCACCCCCCTTTCATTATGAGACAGTGGCAGAATGACGGGGTTGCTGTGTCTCCTGGGGGTGGCCCACAGCAGCACTCTGGCCTCGCGGGAGCTACCTTGCATACCCGGGCTACCCGGGCGTGGATGCGGCGTCTCTCCCACGGGCCAGCCTCCAGGGCTATCTCACGGAGGAAGACGTACACCTTGTCATCGTGGGCATTGTAGGTGTCAGGAATGGCATAGGCCCCAATGAACACAGGCTCTGCACAAGGGGAACAGAAGGGAGAAAATGACTTAGTGTTGGCAGCCTTGGGCTCTGGGTTTATATTATAGCGGCACCTGGGAACTGCAGTCAGGACTGGGGCCCTTTGTGAGAGGCACTGTGGGCACATGTGGGAAGCAACGGTAGCTGTTGTATAGAGCTCTCACTTCAGTAGGGTGAGACTCGAGTTTTGGCATTAGGACCCATTCCTAGATTGTAAAGCCAGAACACTCAGTCTGATCATAGAGCCCGACCCCTGCACAATGTGGGCCAAAGAATCTCACTCAATTACTCCTGTGCTAATACCATCACATCTTCAGCAAAGCTTAGCACCACAGGGCTCTGGAGGTGCATTCAGGAGCTAAGAACCAGTTGCAAAGCTTAGTCTGAGAAGGCCCTGCTGGACTTGGTGCCTGGTGGCATGATTCAGTAAAATGAGAAGCTGATGCTGAGAAGAGCCACCTCAGAAGAAAGCAGGACTGGAATTACGGTGGCTAGGGTCTGGGTTCTCCAGTAGAGTCACTGCCTCCTTGGAAACGTGCCACTACTGATGACATGTAGGGGGTGCATGGGAGTGCCCATGCACCCCCTGATGGCTGCACTCACCACTTAGGTGATGGGCGGGGGGGCAGGCAGGCACACTGGTGCTTCCCTGCAAGCGCTGGCTGATCGCTGGCTGCGCTTGCTGCAGCTGCTTTTGGAAGTGGCTGTGGCAGCTTCTGGGAATGGCTGCAGTGATCGGCCGGCGCTTGCTCCCAGAAGCAGCTGCAGCCACTCCCGGAAGCGGCTCCAGCGAGTGCAGTGATCGCCCGCAGTGATTGGCCATTGCAGGATTGCCCAGCCCCCTGCTCCCCCCGACCGCAGGATTGCCCACGGGGAATATCTTCCAGTCAGCGGGATTGCCTGCGGGGGGATCCCCCACTCTGGTCCGCGGGACCGGTTGCCAGTTGGGGCATGTGCCCCCCCTGACGAAGGCAGCAACAGTTGCCCATGCACTGGCTTCAGCAGGACAAAGCCCAGGCCACTGTCCAGTGGTCCCAGAATCACACTCCACTGGGACTGAGGTTTGGGGCTAGTTCAATGGACTGTTCCAGTCTGCATCTTGACAAGCTAAGGGCATCCCAGGGTGCTTAGTCCAAACATTTTGGGGTCCTTGGCAGAATCAGAATAAACACCCCTGTATGAGTCTGATCATTGCCATTTCGTATGCCAGAGAGGAGACCTCTAGGCTGAAAGCATAAGCAGCTAGAGCTGTCTTCCTGCAGCTCCAACAGATTCCCATCCTCTGCAGAGGAGGCACAGAGCAGGCCCTTTCACACCCACTGACTGGTGGGTTACACAAGCCCAAACTGTTCCTGCAGGGTGATAGTTTCATTGTGATCTTCCTTGCTTATTCTTCTTCATGCAACAGAGATCTGAAAAATGTCCAAGCCAACCTGGGCTGAGTTATGCACCAAAACAATAGCTAACCTGTGTCTTCAGCCCAGAAGCAAGTGAAACTGCTAGGCTTTGGTTTCAAACCAGAGGGTGCCTGTAGACATGCAGGATGCCTGCTCTGACATCCTGTAATTGCAGTGCATCAGAGCAGACTTGACTGAGTCTGCTTGAAGCGTGCTAATTAGCATGCTCCAGCAGCCTTGAAATCTCATGTATTCAGTGTCCCTGTGCTTCAAAATGGCAGCAAGGGCACTTTAACTAAAACTTGTTGAACAAGCTTTAGTTAAATTGCCCCTGCTGACATTTTGAAGTGTGGGATACTGAATAGATGAGATGCTGGGGGTGCTTTAATTAGAGCAGCTCCTGAGAATTGCTTTGATTATAGCACCCACCAGAGCATGTGTAAAGATGCCCATCATGTCTTACTAAGGGCCTAAATACAGCCCTGAGGGGGCAACTGAGGGCTTTTCTCCTTGCCCTAGGACTTCATGAGGCCTGAAGCCTGGAAGGAGCAAGGAAGTGGGGGAAGGGGCAGGTATGGGAGGACAAAGGGGGCTATCTGAAGTACTTGAATGGGTAATTGGAGCCCACTGGTACTAGGAGGTCTGGGCCTCTCAGCAATGAAAGAAAATGAGGCCCTGGGTACCAGCAGTAGCACAACAAATATGGTGCCCTGCATCCCTCCTTCACTCACTCTTCTTCCCCCAAGCACGAAGTGGAGTCACTCTGCTTGGCAGGATGCCAGGACCCAGTGCCCCCCCAGAATGTATCTTGATACCTTCCCTACCATTTAGCCAGTGGTCTTGGTTCTGTTCTGTTCGGATGTAGTTCTGGTCAGCCCCGTGAACCCCGGTTCGGAAGAAGGCAGCACTACTGCCCATAAAGTCGATGGAGGTGCCCGAGTAGAGGTCTCCATCTGCCAGGTCAGAAAGGGAAGCACAG